GGCTACCCTCTCGGGCGCAGCCTCCAGCGTCGGTCTCCGCAATCAGGCCGCAGAGGACGCGGCGTGGCCACCGTCACCAAGCCAGGGGCGAAACCATCCCGGAACTGCGCGGGCCCTCCCCAGCCTGCAGGTCGCTGAGCGCTCGCTGGGGAGGGGCACAGGGTAGGGGTGGTCAGTGGTCCCGGGAGCCTCCGGCACCTTCTCTGCCTCTTCTCTCCATTTAGCCAGTGCTGAGGCAGCTGCCCACCTCTGCCATGCCACTCACTGGGGACACTTTCTCAGCCCAGGTGTCACTGAGGATCCCTTCATTTGGTCCCTGGCCCTGACCTCTCCTCAGGGGTCCTGAAGCCTCCACCAAGACTTACCTCAAACTTGCTCATGAACTCTGCGAAGATCCCAAAGAAAGCCTCCGAAGTGGTGGCCTTGGAATCCTCCCCAAAGAAGGCCAGCGCCTTACTCAGCTCCTCCATGGACTCGCGCTGCAGCCCGTCCAGTGCCCGAAGCACCGGCTGGGCCGACTCCAGGAAGGACTGACCAGCCTCAGTTAAGGAAACGGTCTGCTGGGTTTCCAGATGGTGGCCACAGACAGTGACCTAGCTACCCCAGTCCTACTCTACCAAGTCTCTCATAGGGCCAGGTCCTGTGTCAGCAGAAGTGAAAGGTCTGGCTGTGTCCAGTTCCAGACTGACCACTGCCCGCTAGGCTTATCCCGGAACCAGCCGGGCCCTCCACTCCTGCTCTCTCTGCAGGGTCAAGGAGGCTCTCCCCTGGACAGTGCCTGTCCTTGTCTAGCTGTAACCTCAGCAGGGAAAACCCTGAATTCTTCAAGGGGTGTTGGAGCCAGACAGGGGGAGGAAAGAGAGAGAGACGCCACACACCCACTCTCCTAGCCTCCCCATCTAGACTGTCTCCTCGGCTGGCCAGGTCCTGCTAGAGAGCTCAGTGGGAATGTCCCTTCCCTACTGCCTTTGGATGGTAGAATGCCTGACAGGCCTTTCCTTGAATCCTGTGACTTAAGGCTGGGCTCCACTGCCCACGATGACAGGGCAAGGCAGTGGTTCTGGGGCACTGAAAAGAGCTCTGGCTTTAGCTACACACAGACTTGACATAAGCCGTTGGATTATCAACAACCCAGGATGGAACCTCTTCCAGGCCCCTGGGGCACAACTGCCTGGGCCCAGAATCTCTGCTGGGAGTCAGGGTCTCCAGTGGCCAGTGGAGCCATAAGCAGCCCTACCCAACCACCCCAGGGTCCAGCCTAGAGCCATGACAAGTTGCTCAGAGGATACCGCCATGACCACGGCAAATTTGTCCTCACTGGAGGGGGACATGCCCTGGCAAGCATCTTGTATCTCACTGACAGTACCGTGGAGGTCAGCCAGATCACTGGTCAGGGCCCGTTGATTCACTGCAGGGAAGGGGATGGAAACCCCATGGGTCCACCCTCCCAGCCCAGGATGGCATGCTTCTGCTTCCCCACCCATCCACCCAGCCTACCTTTGGCAGCCAGAGGCACGGTGGGCAGGTCCTGAGCAAAGCCCAGGAGTTCAGGAAAGTGCTGGCTCAGCGATTTGGCAAGGATGTGCAGGAAGGTGGACTTCCCATCCACCGTCTTGGTGGAGTTCAGCTGCAAGTGACCGCCAACATACATCCCTCTCAAGAACCCTATCGAATTCCTGGTCACATGGGCCTCCCGTCTCCCAGACAATGGCCTCAATTCCTGTCCTTTGCTGGTCTCAAACACCCTTCCCCCACTCCATTTTTCCAGATCCTGAGGCTGGGCTTAGAGAAGCTGCTTTCCCCCATTCCACTCCGACCTTTTTGCTGCAGCTATACCCTGGCATCTGTACAGCCAGTGTTTCCTCCCAGGGGCAGGGCCCACTTATATTTTCTCTCCCTGCCATAACTTGAGTTAAGCTTGACCTTGACACCTCACTGGTAGAGCAAGCCCCCACCCGTCCCCTTACCTCTGTTAGGAAGTTGATCTTGAAGCCCGTGGTCTTGTTGGTTTTCGGCTGTCCATCATTGAGATAATTGCCCATGGCCAACACAAACTGTGGAGAAGAAGGTGGGCGGGTCCTGCCCCGGGTCCCCACCCCACCACCCACCCTTTGGCCCATTGACCGGATGAGTCTCCAGGCTGGAAGCCCCGGGGGGCAGAGAAGCAGGTAGGGTGCCCAGGGAGGGGACGGCTCTCCTGACCTCCAGGATCTTGGCGAGCTTCCGGCTGTTCTTGAGCTCGAGGGAGGCCTGGCGCAGGCACTCGAGGCTGCCTCGGATCTCCTCTGTCTTCTCCTGCAGGGTGGCCTGGAAGTGGAGGCTACGCAGGCGGGTCTTGTATTCGGGAACTGACAGCATCTGCCTCGAAGGCAGGGCCAGGATTCACCCATCCCTGCCAGGGGACCCACTGCCCCACCACAGCCTGGGGTGGGGGCCCGCTGGCTGCCGGGACCCGGTACGTCCGTAGGAAAAATAAGCTCGAACCCCAAAGGGACGCCCCCATCCCCCCTCCGCCGGACCCCGGGTTGAAACCGGCCGTGAAAGGCGCCCAGCGGGGCCTCAGAGGCGTGAGCGCGGCGGCGGTCCCAGGCAGACCCTGGCCATCGCGAGAGAGCCCCGACCCGGACGGCCGCGGGCACCTGCAGGACGAACTGGTCGGGCTCGCTGAGGCGGCCGGGCGCCTCGCGGAAGGCCTGGTAGCGCTGCTCCTCGTCGGCGTCGGGCGCGAAGAGCAGCAGCTGAGCCAG